GAAACGAAATCATTTTTTTTTAGGTTTTATATATACATTTGAATAACCAAAAAACCATAATTACTATATCAAAAACACAGAATTCCATAATAATTTATCAAGCTGTATTTCGGTCTAAAAAAATATGAAATTTCGAGCAGACTAAAGATTCACCTTACCAGCTTGAAGATTTGTATTGAAAGAATGAGGACACTTGAAAATGGCTGAGAAAGCCACTAGGGGGACCTTCTGAGCTTTCAATTGATTATTCACATGGCATAGACAGAAGTAAGTGTATATAATGGAGCATTTCCAAAAATGGAAAGAGGTGAGCGGGGCCACTGTGTTTGATTCAATATCACAGCAAATAGAAAAGATAGGAGGTACTCATTTTATATTCTAGCTTGTCAATATCAGTAATTTGAGTTCCTAATTCATACAAAACTATAGACTCGGTATTTTGACATCACAAACATCTAATTTGAACCAGTGCTGCATTCAACATACCACGTGACACAGAAAATCGATGTTTATCTGTGTTTTTTTAATATATACTTTTAAATTAAGAAATTTAATAATGTATAATACTAAAATTTGAATTGAAATCAACAATAACAGTTTGATATCAAACTTATTGACAAATTCATAAAATAGTAGTTCAATAAAATTTTGAAAGCAAGTCAACAGACATGATGACATGACCTGTGACCTGTAGCGATAGGATTATCTTAATTCTAAAAAAACAATTCAAAATACCCATAACTAGATAATAGTAAGGGTCTTTTTTTTTTCTTCTCTTTAGTCAAAGATAATGCACTAAACAAGTCTGGTTTGTACAAAAAAAAAGGAAAGACTTGAGGGAACATTTTGTATACATGCTTCTTGTTTTCATAACAAGAATATGCTATTAGTATCCCAGCAATAGAGATTTAATTTTTAGTATAAATCCACAGTAGAAAAAAAATTATTTTATAAATTGGGCATGCATTAGTGTTTTGGCACTAATAGTTAGTTATATACACTATCAAATGAGCTACCTGGGCTTAACATTCAAGTATTTTATTATATCAAAATCATTATTGACAGATGTAAAAATGGTGAAATAAAAAAAGGGAAAACTTACATTTCTGACAGCAACATCTTCTGAATTCATTATATGTTTCCTTTTGTGTGTATATGTGTATTTAATTTGATGAACCCACTATTTCTGGCTTAAAGGTTGAAAATCAATCTAAGGAAGAAATGATCACGTAAAATTAAATACAGCACATAGTTTATGTATCCTATATATAGTCATGGGTGTGGAATTCATATTGCATGAGACACAACAGGTTTTACCATTATACTTTGCCTGTTCAACAAGTTCTATTGTTATAAAAATATTCCATGTATTCCAAGGTTCTAGGAAAGTTCCTGAAAATTCTGAACTACTAAAGTCTAGCACATACACAAACATTTAAAAAATGCATACACATGTATCCCTAAAACTAAAAACCAAATTCCAATTACATATACCTATAATTCATAGAGGTTTCCTTCATTACAAACACAGTAACAAATACAATTAAATTGGTCTCAAATTATCAAATGTGACAAAAGTTCAAAGGAGAGTATTAGAGTATTGTTAGGCTGCAGTGCAGCAAGAGGGAAACTGGTCATTGGACGGTCTGCAAATCCCTGGTGTTTTGGGGATTTCAGACATAATCATTATCAGTGATGTACGAAGCAAACAAGAAAGCCTGGATGACATAAGCCATCTTCAGCAATTGGTTGAGGAAAACAACAAAATGAGGCTACAAAACCAATCAAATCTACTTTTTGTTGGTAACTGTTCCACACACCCACCTATGAAGCTTTCAAATTTCAAGCACATGATCCTGCCACCAAACACAATGTAGCACTTGCAACCAGGTGACAGTGGCATCATAAAGAGTCTGAAATCAACTTATTGCAAGAATCTTCTCCATCACATACTTCTGAAGATGTCCGAGGCACAGAATGCCGCTGATCTTACCAGTCAAGTCAATATACTCAATGCAATATATTGTTTGAAATTCCTGGGACTCGGTCCAACCAGAGACGATTCAGAAGAGTTTTGTATGCTGTAAGTTCACAAACCAGACATTGCCAGATACACCAGAAGACATCAGCACAGACGACATTGTGCCATTACTGCAGGGGACATCATTGGAAGAGTTCTTCTTGTGTGATGAAGATGCTGGCACCACTGCAATTTGATGAAGACCGAGCAGATATGTTAAAGAAAACTGAAAACTGTGACCCAATAACTGAAGATAACAACAAGGATGACAAATCAGAATCCAAACGAGTGACTAGAGCAGCAATGACGGTTGGACACTTAGAAGAAATTCGAGACCATGCACTGAAAACGAAAAACAAAATGCTTCTGAATATCATATCTGCTGAACTCGTGAACATTCAAAGTGACTCTGTTAAATGTGCAAAACAAACAAAGATGGATGATTTTTTTTATGAAATAAATTTGGTGTCATTTTGTCATATTTTACACGTATGTTTTATAAAATAGAGATGCGATGTTTTATGAATAAATTATTTTACATAAAACACAAACAAAACAATTATCTTTATTGAACTGTTATCCATCATAATTAATATCATACCAATTTGCTACATCATCTGATTACTTATATGGTATACAAACCATATGTTCAAGCCTTGGCAATAGCGACTGGCACAGCTTGAACACGGTCTTTCGTTATCTGGTTATTGATCCTTTGAATAATAACTTCCTGTCAGATATGACTTTTTTATCATGGCAGACAGGTTGGTCATATCCAAGAGGGACTACTGTATATATTAAACACCATATGAGTTTTCAGCAGCATTAATGTAAACTATGATTTCTTTATCAGTTCGTTCATGGAGTATTCTACATGCTGCACTATAAAATCCTAGGGATTAAATGCTAACAACTATAATATACACACACAAATATATATATGAAGAGCTTATATGCAAAATAATGGTATAAGCCACTTCCAACAAGCTGCCAGTGACATTATATTAATTGTGTTCACTATTAAATAAAAGTAAATTTTTAAAACTTGTATTCTGCAGAAAGGAGCATATCAATTTTCAATGAGAAGTAGGTTTTCCAACATTTTGTCAATTGGACAAGAAGGGTTTTTGTTTTTCACATTTCACACCCCTGCAAGTAAAACTAATTTAAAACGCACCACAAATTTTGTCCTTTATTAATGCTTTAATTAAAAGTATTTCATACTAATTATTTGTTTAATCTAGTGCTATAAGAACAGCACAATAATTAGATACCTTTAATTTATTACAGAACATTTAAGTATTCTAGTTCACTACTTATTTTTAATGTTAGGTCCTTAGAAATAGCACTGGCAGCAACAACTATTATTATATGTTTTAAATTTTATATTAGTAGGCAATGTGCTGTAAACATTTTCCTTATCTGAAAATGTAGTTCATATAGATATTTACCCCTCTGCACCACTAAGAGCTATTACCTCTCACACAGCTGTCATTGAATTTCCTGTGCATGCCACAAGCCTTCAAAAAACTCCCACCTCAATGTATCTTGTGATAGCCTATGATGTGATCATCATAATGGTGTAGCCTTCTACCAATAAGAGGGTGCCACAAACTCCATGTGCAGTAATCCCTACAGGCACTAGCATGTAATCACAGGATCATTCTTGTAGAAGCAAACAAAATGAACTGGAGATGGGAGATGGTGCAGAGAGAAAGTATCTATCCGAATTACATTTTCAGGCAAGGAAAATGTTAACTACAGAAACATTACTTAATTTTTAGCACCACTAAGAACTAAAATCTCACATTTAAGATAGTGGAGGGGCCAGTTTTTAACAATTACAATGAGAAGCTCCTTTTTGAATTAATGACAGGAAGGGAAAGACCATGGGGTATGACTTCCACCTGGTGGGAGCCTGTATTCTTCTCAAGCAAAGAATACTCTTCACCCAACAGTTTATTTACAATTTTTATTTTTAGTGAGATAGTACAACAAAGTACAGGAAATTCCAATGCTGGTGGTAACGTGTTGCTAAGGTGGGCAGAACGTTTGAATGTGTAGTGTGGTTAGGGCTTTAGGCTGTTCTGTATTGGTCCAATACTTACGAAACAGATACTAAAATGATGGGGTGAAGAACCCTCAACAGAAATCCAAGTCAAATCCAGTTAGATATATCCACAAGGAACTGCTTGGGAAATACTGTAATAGTGTGCCCTGTATGAAACCTCCATGATAACACCCCAGCCCTACATCTCAAATGAGAAGTCGGCCCAACTAGTATCCCTAGCAGCTTGGAACTGGGAAAGTAGGGATTCTTTCATGTTCCATTTACAAAGCAGTGGGGGACAACAATGACAAGTGTGCATGGGCCACAGGCATCATGTACAATCATCTGGAATTGGGTCTCCACCAAGAGACATTATTTAACAACAACATATTTACATTTTTTTTATAAGCAACCACTATCAATTCTAAAATTTAAATATACTGTAAGGTTGTTGAATGTTGATTTAAATACTGAAACCTTCTTTACCATTAAAACTTGTGAAGTTGAGAATTATCACACCAGTGATCGAAATGTCATATCTGTTCTGGAAACAAATCTTCCTTACTGTAAAAGATGTAACTTGTAATAAAATAACTAAAAACATCTGTTTATCAGACTATTTCTTTGTGCTTTTTTTTTCCTTTTGATTTTAGGCTCATTGATTTGAATTGTGTGAAATCAAATAGTGAAGAAGAGAGATTTCTTGAAGTGATTAAAAATGGTTTTCTAAACCAATGTTCAAGGGCCAACAAGGATGGGAGATGTCACTTTAGATTTATTGCTAATCATTAATGAGAATATTGTTTGTTGAAATAGCTAAGGTAGGGGAACATTTAAAGAAGAGCAATCACTGCATAATTAGGTTTGGAATTTTGATATCAATGAGATAAAAAGATATAAAAAATGTAATTCCTAATTTTCTGAAAGCCAATTCAGTGAAATGGAACAGAGTTAAAATGTGACAGATTTGGAAAATTTGTTTAAATAATTCTCTTAATTCAAATGAGCATGTTGCCTAAAAAGAGAAAAATGATAACAGAAGATTAAACCTAACTGGCTAACTAAAGACATAAAAGAATATTAGGGATAAATACTACAAGAAATTTAAAAAACAGAAAGGTTGGAAGACTTGCAGAACAGTAGGTTGGTTGGGGATTTGTTGAAATTATTTTAGGTAGGATTAGAGTAAATTAATCTACGAGACCATTTTTCCTTTTTATTAGCTATATTTTTGTGCACCATCAATACCAAGCATAGAGTGCATGTATATCCGATTCAATTTTATTACTCATGAGGATTTCTACTAACATACCCTCAAACTGAAATTCCTTTAGGCAAGATTAGAGTAAATTAATCTATGAGATCTTGGGCATGATCAAATATATCAATCAAAAGGGTTTGGCCTCCTGAGTCCAAAGCTGTAATTAGATCTCAAATCTGTCAAGAGATGATGGAGCTATGAGCTTAAAGTTTGTACTTGGAAAAAAAAAAATTCAGAGCTATTCTATAAGCCTCTATGCTGCAGCTAAAAAAGAAATTAGAAAATTCACTAAAGCTTATAATAAACAGCTGGCTAATAATGTTACAGCTAACAGCAAGGATTTTCTAAGTATGTTAAAAGTAAGCAAGATGTTAGAATGGGGATTAGGCCCTAAATGGATATTGATGGCAAGGTTTTTGTTGATGACTATTAGATGGCTACGAAGATATTAGCAACATCCCTGACCTTATGCATTCTACACAAAATACTGGAAATGACCTGAATCATGTATACATTTATCCTTTGGTGGTATGTAGAAGTTTTAAAAATCAATAAAGCACTAGAGCAAAAGGTTTTATTCAAGGTTTTAAAAGAATTCAAACATTAAATATGTAAGCATCTTTTTTTTTTTTCTTTTTCTTTTTATGGCCGGTCAACAGAGTTGCCAGATGGGCATGGTTTGGTTAAGTTTTGCCCTCCACATGTATCAAAACTCATATTTTAGTGTTGTACATCTTCAGACATACTACTGAGCCACTAGGGGCAGGTGATCAAGGATTAGAGTTCCTTATTTTATTCCTATTTTCAGAGAGGTGATAAAAGTTGTCCTGGAAATTACATACCAGTTTGTCTTTTTTTTTTGTGGGTAAAATTCTAAAAGAAGTTTTACATAATTCTTCCTTTAAATATAATACTATAAAAAAAAACAACACAGTTTCACAAAAGGGAAATTTTGTCTTACAAATCTGTTAAATTTTATTGAGGACATTATTTGTTATCTAGAAGAAAAAATTCAGGTGAATTCTGTGTACTTAAATTTTCAAAAAGCGTTGGATAAGATGGCACACTTTTAAAAAAGCAGGTAATAAAATCAATTGGTAGTGGTACAAGAAAGGCTAGTTAGTTGGAATTTAGAGATGAGAGTAATGGAATCCAGTCAAGCAGGGCCATTGTTACTAGTGGTGTACCTCGGCAGTCAGTGCCGATTGGGCCTTTGCTTTTTTTTAATTTACGTTAATGATATTGAAAGGGGCATAATTAGTAAGTTGTTGAAGTTTGCTGAAGGCAAACTTTTGGATAGTTCTAGCTATATTGAGGATATGGAAATACTAAAGGCTTGGTTAAATTGATAAGTTTGACATATACATTTGGGAAATGACCTTTCATTATAGTGAATGCAAGGAAATGCATTTGGCTATACCTTGGATGGCACATTTAATACAGATGGAAACCAACTCAATAACTCACTCAAGCCATCAAAGCAATTTTCTGTTGCTAATATAATAGTAAATCCATTTTAGGATGTACTTACATACATATTAATTACAGCCTAAAGAGATAAATATCTGTCTACATAAATTACTAGTTATGCCTCCCTTGGAATACTGTATGCAGTTTTTGTCTCCTTAGCTAAGAAAGGATATTTACTAATTGGATATATTTCAGAGGAGGGTTACTAGAATGATTCCAACTCCAAGGATGAAAGCATTAGCTTACAGGAACAGGTTAAAACCTCTTAACTTTTATTCTCTTGTGAAAATAAATGATCTAAAGATAATCATAATGGGATGCTATGACCAAGGTTTAAGACAGGCTAGACTCCAGTTAATTTATTTTTCTAAGAGTGACTTATTGGAATGAGTCATCTTTGGAAGTAGTGGAGATCAGCACTTCACAGGAGTTTAAAGGTGAAATATGATTTCCTGAAAAGTCATAGATGGAATTAAATTTTTACTTTTATCTCAAGTACTATCAGTAATTACCATCAGATTGTTTTAAATTTCACTGCACACTGATGATTGTGTCCTAATATAACAATCATGCCAATATGGCTATGATAAATAAAACTATTCATTACTTTTGCATTTTTTTTATAATTATAAAAACAAGAATATAACATAAACCTAGCATAGAATTAAAATAGAAAAAGTCATGCTTGTTGTTTCTTACGTTTAGGCTATATTTACCAAAATAAATGGTAGACAAACTCTAGAAACCCATGGCATGATTTGTATGTTAGCATAAACATAGTGTCTTATGCTTTCTAATTTAAACTATTGATTAACAGAATCTTGTCTATTACTCAAGTTTTTTTTCCCTTGTAGGTGCATATTTTTGTATGTTTGTGACATTGCAAATTCTGCTTTCATTTTGTTATGGTTTTGTTTACCATCCATTTATTAATCCTTATATTGTTTAGTTCAACTATTAATTTTTAGTTACATTAAAGTACTAAGTCAACTTTTTTCTGAAGCACGTTGATTTTGATTATGTTAATATTATGAAACTGACACCAGCTTCCCCTGGCAGTGATGTACAGATGTTAATATTATGAAAGATTATGTAGATTTATAGCAATAACTAGTCACGAGATGTAACCTTGTGGTCTAATCACTAAATAAAACTCCTTCTTTTACCATGAAAATTAGTCTATTCACAAAATATAGTTAATAAGAATTACTGTTAAATAGTTTTTGATATTGAGTAGTTTAATTTTGAAATATTGTGTTATTCTCCGATGAATTAGGTTTTTTATTTTTCTGGTTCTTTTTCCTAATTCATTTGATATTTATTGAAATTTATCACATTGAGATTTAAGTTGTATTATATGTATTAATGTTTCTACCTAGCCCTGGCCAGCCATGAGTTTACTAAACGTTTTTCATGATTAACAAAATTTGTATTGTAGTTGTTTCAAAGATGTTTTTCTTTATATCTGTTGTTATATTTAATAAATTGTTATTCTTTAATCCTGTAGTGCAATTTTGTTTACTTTAAATCATTACAAGTTTAACATCTTAGATAATCTAATGATGAGAATTTCTTTTATCACTGCAGTGCAATGAGATATAGCATGTACTACTATTAGTATTACGCATTTTGAGCAAGTTCAACTAAATTGAACTATGTAATATTGTGTTCCTAATCCTAAGGAACTATTTGGCTAAGTATCTGTTGAACAACATCATAATGATGTTTTACTTTTACTTTTAGTCCACATTCCATGTAGCTTAAGACTTTGACTTAATACTTTTAATTTTTTATAGGTATTTAGCCTTTTTAGGACACTTATAACTTATAATAATTATTAATATCTGAACAACTTACATTATAAACGTTAAAATACTGTATTCATTTAATATAATAACATTAATAACTGCAATAATACATAATTAATAGTAATACTAATAGTAATATTCATACTCATAGCAAATAAAACTAACCCTAAATTTAGAATACAAGTACAAAAGTGGAGTGCTTTCAACAAGATTATAGCGAATAATACTTTACTTACCTAAACTAACGAAAAACAAATGATCGGTATCAAACAACTTGCGAAGAAGAAATACACTGAAAATTTAACACATGTTAAGAAAATTATATAACGAACCCACCCTACCAGCAAACTTTTACAAAATTAAGTGTAGCAGTTCTCCAGGCTTTTAGACATGCGAAACGGGATTTAACTTGAAGATCAGGTTAAAAAGAACACCAAAAACACCTTTCCCAAGTCCATGAATATGTGAACAAAAACAACAAGTTTTTCTGAACAGAATGTCACAATACTAAAACATGAACCTGACATTAACAGAAGAAAAATCAGAGAAGCCTTATTAATAAAATCAAACAATCACAAAATTAACAAATACTCAGGCACATCTCTATATGTCTTTAATCGTTATTTCCCCAGGCATCCTAATTTTACGTAAATATTTCGAATAACGTATTCCACACCTTCATATTTATTAACTTTTTGATTTTTTTCCAGACATAAACAAATGATTTGTTAATTCGCTCTACACATGCATAAGTAACAACTATCAATTTTAGAATTTAAATACATTGTTAGTTTGTTGATTTAAGTTCTAAAACCTTCGTTACCGTTAAAACTTGTGTACTTGAGAATGAACACACCAGTGATTGAAACGATGTATCTAATCCATAAAGTATTCTTCCTTACTGTAAATGCAGTACATTTTGATACAATAATTTATTTAATAGATTTCGTAATCTATTGTTCTGGAGTCGAGAATTTTAAAGTTT